AATCAAAACCGTGGGGGTAATAAACCCCTTTCACCTGGGTATTTAAATTGAGGAATTGCCAACCTTTTTCATTAGAGTTACCTAGACTGGATCATATCAAAATACATTAGGTAGCTTTTTCCTCTCTTACTGACGTCCTGATCAGACTGAAAGCCATAAAATATAATTGATTAATATTTACCTGATATGTGCTAACTCAAAATAAAAAAGATGAATGTGTTTTAGTTAACAGGTCGTCGTTGCCCTAGAGTGGTCATGTTGGTGAATTGAAACCCCAATAGTATTACAAGCACAGCAAGCATTTTTATCTTGATCAAACACAATAGTCATTTTTTGTATTTTGTTTGTTTGTATGTTTTGCTTTTTGCTTTTATTGCATTTTTACTTTGCAAAGGGACTTTGAGTGCCTTGAAAGTCGCCTTGAATAAAATGTAATATTATTATCATTGCGTAGAAATAAAAATGTATGCTCAACTCAACAATTACTTTCCAGCAGAGTTATTCAATTTAATTTTGTCTTGCTAGTAATGGTAATAGAATCTATTAATACTGTTTTATTGACAGATCATTTAAAACTCTAGTAGCTGTTTTTCACCAGCAGATGTCAGCCAAATCAAATGAAATAACAACTGAATCAGCACCCAGGAGTGGAATTTCATGTTTTTTGTGTGTTCAAGTGTTTACTTTCAGTCCTTTTCAAGGACAAAAAAATCATAAACAGTCATCAGTTGATCGAATTACAATTTATGAGTATTTAAAAAAAAGTTTGCATTTACTTTACAAATATTTTTATATCCAAGAAATGAGATAACATATGCAGGATTTCTATCCCTGGAGTGATTTTATGTAGTTTCTAGTACTAGTGGGTGAGAGATTAACAAGAAGACAAGAAGTTAGGGAAAGACCTGTTCTTCTCCTGTCCAAGTTGTCCTTCATCATCCCATCCCCACCCAGGAGAAAATCTGCCCTACACTTCTCAGGATGCCTCCAAATTCCTGGCCAAATGAAGCCTTTTCTTTGACAAGCAAGGCAAGGGCATTCCTCTTCAGGGGACACAATAACCCCTTTCACCATGGCCCGGCTCTGAAATTTCACAGGTGATGGGAGGAACGGCAGATACTCGATCCTTCCTCCTCCCACTGACACAACACATCTGACTAAGGGATGGGAAAAAGGGAGAGATGCTGATTGGAAATGTGGTGGCAGCTGAGATAGAGGGGAGAGTGAGTTGAAGGTGACGAAGGAGAGACTCATGATTGGGCTCCATGCAATTACAGCAGCTCAGATTTTATTTTTTTTTTCAGAAAAGAATGACAAAAATTATTTAAGAAAAATATTTACAGTGCTGTGTGAGGACTATCTTTTCAATTGCACTCGAGCTCCACTTCACAGCATCCAGTCAGTTCAAATTTCTCTTACCATGTCCTCTCCAATCAGAAAAGTGTTACGGTTTCAAAAACCCAGTTCAGACTTGTTTGTTTGGATGAAAATCATGTTCAAACACAAAAACATGATAGAAGCAGCCGCAAACAGAGCCTTACAAGGGATCTTGTCAAAACTCTCAGTGTTTTAGTGAATTCCAAGCATTGTGTGCATTTTTTGTTTATGTGCTGGGTCCTACTCTCACAGAAAGAATTTCCATGAAATGCTTAATTTATGGTCAAAGCTTTATCTTTTGCGCTTATCTACATCACCATGAACATGTTTGATACATATCTGCCTTGTGGTTAGTTTTGTTTTCCTCTAAAAATGGAAAAGCAGCTGTGTGTTACACTAGCACATCCCACCAATCAGAGTTGACCAAGCCTTTCTGGAAAGAGTTTTTACACCATGAAAGAATTGAAGCGGCACCACCAGAAACATGGCTGCCAATCGTGTGGAGTATGTGAACTCTACAGCTCAAAGTTGCCTTAAACTGTGTGATTCATTTGCATTTTGTTTAGAGAACATAATGAAACATCAGGTGTTTTTTGTCAGTTTATGGCCTCAAAGAAATCATCTATAACTTTGAGACATTGTTATCTTAAAATGAATCGCCAAAAACAACTTAGAGTAGTGATGATTTTCATTGAAAAGCCATAGGCTTATAGATGGTGTGCAAGATTTTACATTATGACAGCTTTACTGAAAACAGGACCTTTTCTCACAGAGCATCTGTTTCTATTGTGTCTTCCATTTAAATACGATTAAGAAATACCTTCTCCCTGTGAAAGGCTCCCCACACCATCCTCATGCCAAAAGATGGGAATGAATTGGTGTACGTTGAGTGAATTCTACATCTTTGTTGATTATTATCAAAAACATTTTCCAACCTACAGGCTCAAACAACTCAGTATTTTACCTTCCTTCCTTCCCTTTCATTGATTTTTTGTTGGGATGTAGCTTAGAAAAACACGTATATAAACCCACTCCTGTTTCTAGAATAGTTTTAAAGAAATAAAAGCATTTCTTCAAACATACAAGCTGACAAGGAACCTTCAACTTAAATAGAATTTGATAAAAAATTAAATATCTTGGCGTGATCGGTACTAGACCAATGTCTATTTAGGTACAAAATGATGTATTCTGAATAATACTGAGTCTAAATAATCTCCCCAAGGGCTGCATCGTCATAAGGGCCCTACAGTCCTCATGTAGTCCCCATGGCCTGCGTGTTCCTCTGACAGAACACAGAGGGAGGGCTAAACACCTTCAACAGTAAACTCAGATCATGCCCAGGCTTCTAAGCTGTAAATGGTCTCTTTCATGCTTTGGCAGTGAAAAGGGAAATGGGGCCCTCTGTGGTGGGCGAGTTTGGATTTTCATAAGTCTGCATGGAAACTGCATTGAAAAAAGTATAGTCTAAGTATATCGTGCCTCATTGTGTTGACAGAAATGAATCAAGGCTAAAAATAATTTGACTTGAAAACTTGCTCAATTACACCTTGTCTTTTCTTTTTAGCGACATGATTAATAAATATTTTTCATGCAAGAACTAGATATGAAAGGGCATTTACTTTAAGATTACTTAAAATGACATGCCTACTTTACATTTAAGGTAATGATTTGATATTTTTAGGGTGTATCTTAATGGAATAAGATGTTGGTGAACAAGTCCTTTTATTCAAACCTCCCAGCTCCAAGTTAGAAAGTTCTCTAAACAGTCATTGTTAGAACTTAAATACTTTCTTTTTACGAAGATCATTATGCAGCTCTCATGCAGTTGCACCGATGACCACAAGAGGTCATGTATTCTTTTAATAGCATTACAGGTCATTTGGGGCACATGAGCATTTGGGAAAAGTACAGTTTTCAACAAAGACTAATATTTGTATTGAATATAGTCATAATCATGTTAAATATTAACATGAACCCTATATATTAATAAGACAGAAATGTAGTGAATTCATAGCTCTTGACCAGACTGTTTTCTTTTGCTTTCAGTGCTTTGCTAAGCTAACTAGCCACTGATTCCAAATTTCACCATGATCGAAATCTTTCCCAGTTAAAAAAAAAACTTTAAGAAAACTTGTTCGTTTAAAACTATGGATATTTTGGAGTCTGCGAGTGTGTGCGTGTTTGACAAAGGCCATCTCTCGGATTGGTGTGGAATGTTAGTACAAAGTGACTTGAGATTTGAATCTGTACTGTCTTTACCCTGAGAACAATGATCCTTCAGTGTGGCAATTCAAGATTATGGAGTTTCATTGAGTTTGTCCAGATTGCCATTTATTTTTAACAGTTTACAATGTGTTGTCAAAAATGGGCAAATGCCTGTTATCCTAATTCTATTAATTTGCTTTCCAAAAAAAAACTAAGTAGGACATAGAAATCTTCAGGCTCACTGTGAATCTATCAAAGAAATTTAAACTAAATGTTACATCTGAAGATGACACATCTGGTCAGGTGTAAATGGGTGTATTATTTAAATAAAGTCTATGCATTAAAGTTTTCCTCCACACAATGATTGAACTAGGCTAAAGTTCTCTCTGACACTAAAAAAATGTTCTTTACAGTCATTAGGCTGAAAATAATGGCAGGGAAGAGTAATTTCTAAAGAGTATAATGTATAATTATTGTGTCTGTCTTGAATACCCCAATGGGGGTTTTGTGGGTAGTTAAAACAAAGACTTAAGCAAAGACTGCTCACAGTAACCCCAAGATCTTGTGTAAAGACTGCTGGACAACTTGGATAAAAAAAAATTAAAAGCCTTTTAGATGAGGAGTGGATTACTATATTCGAGATGAATGTGAAACCAC